GAAGAGAACCTTGTGGCACGCTGAAAGGTTCTAAGCGGCGGAACAAGAAGTGCAAGTTGTCCTGAACATCGACCGTGAAAGTATCTGTAAAAAAGGGATAGGGATGCGACGTTGCGTCTGTGTGAGAGGGAATCCAACTTTGCGGCCAGAGAATGGCCGATGGCAACACAGATTCTCCTTTGAATGCGGTCTAAAATATGTAGGCAATCTTTTGGGGCACCAGCCGAGAAATGCGAGCATACTCCATGCAAGGACGGATGGTGGATTTGTACAGATACAAAATACTTGCAGGAGTGAGGTAGTCTGCAAATAGACTGTGGATGAAATGATACACTGAGAAGCTAAATAATGCGTTTGGATACCAGGCTACAGAAACATGACCATGGGGTTCGCTTTCTCCTCGTCTCAGCTTGAATGGTAGATTGCGTAGATAAAACGAGAAGTCGAAATTACGTAACAGACTGTAGTGCTACTGCTAGATCGATCTTTTTGTGTTTATATATGATATGTGTATTCAAGTTATTCCTTTGTACCTAACCCAGTGGGTATTTTTGTACAATAAAGGTCTTCATTCATACATTCATTAAAGGTCAGCATCGTATCATTCTCCAGGGGCAGATCCGCAGCGGCAAACTGGACGTAATGCTGGTACTGGTACTGGACGGGTCCGGTTCTGTGGGCGTTACACCGGCTGATGTTGTTATATGAACTTCCATTATAACTTAGTAAAGTATATCCTTGTTATGTTGTTACAGGGGCAGATCTGCAGCGCCAAACTGGACCTAATGCTGGTACTGGACGGGTCCGGTTCTGTGGGCGTTACACACCGGGTGATGTTGTTATATGAACTTCCATTATAACTTAGTAAAGTATATCCTTGTTATGTTGTTACAGGGGCAGATCTGCAGCGCCAAACTGGACCTAATGCTGGTACTGGACGGGTCCGGCTCTGTGGGCGTTACACCGGCTGATGTTGTTATATGAACTTCCATTATAACTTAGTAAAGTATACCCTTGTTATGTTGTTACAGGGGCAGATCTGCAGCGCCAAACTGGACCTAATGCTGGTACTGGACGGGTCAGGCTCTGTGGGCGTTACACACCGGGTGATGTTGTTATATGAACTTCCATTATAACAGTAAAGTATATCCTTGTTATGTTGTTACAGGGGCAGATCTGCAGCGCCAAACTGGACCTAATGCTGGTACTGGACGGGTCCGGTTCTGTGGGCGTTACACCGGCTGATGTTGTTATATGAACTTCCATTATAACTTAGTAAAGTATATCCTTGTTATGTTGTTACAGGGGCAGATCTGCAACGCCAATCTGGACCTAATGCTGGTAATTGACGGGTCCGGCTCTGTGGGCGACGTCGACTTCGCCAAGGTCCTGCAGTTCGCCGAAAAATTGGTCAACGCGTTCGACATCGGACCGGACCTCACCAGGGTTGGAGTCGTGCAGTATTCCGACTACTCCACGTAAGAAAGAGATTTTCAGTTCCTTGTAATTGTATCATTCCAAAACGAACTTTAAAACTGTAGTAGGTGAAAACTGTGCTATTGTATTCAGAACCGTAAAACAGTAAAAAGTATGGTGTAATGTTGTAAATATTGTGCTAGTTAGTAAGTGATGACAGTGGGATTGTATATGGTAGTTATTGTTGCAATTGTAATGGAGAAAGGACTCCAGGAAGAATAGTATGGAACTTTTTTTCTGTTGTACTAATGGACATCCAAATAAACATAAACATAAACATAAACCGTTCCAATCTAGTTCTGTGCCTGAATGGTTATTACACTGCACGAAAAGATGGAGTAAATGCCAGTAATACCATGTAAACAGTACCGGACTCTACAATGGTAGTAAATAAAAGTTAAGGGATTATATAGAACTAAGCATTACCCGACTTTACCATCGCGCGCTAAAGCTAACTTTTCACGCAGTGGTAAGGGTTAGGATCAGGCACGGTTCTCGACACAACTGTGTCTTGAACCAATATACGCTCTCTAATGGTACATTGACCCTTTATTATTACCCTTTGAGATATAATACCAATATCCTGACGAGAGTGAAAAGTTAATGTAACCTCTTTCATCCACCCCCAGCTTGGAGTTTAATTTGGGCGCCCACGGAGACAAGGCGTCCACGATAGCCGCTGTTAACAACATCGTGTACCAGGGCGGTGGCACGGCCACCGGAGAGGCTCTGGAGTACACACGCGTTAACGCTGCCTGGAGGGCAGCACCCGTGCCTAAGGTACGTGTATTTCAGAGCTTCTCGGTTCTCTGCTCTGCATGACGTAATGTTATGACGTCACTGGTGTTGCTATGGGCAACATAAGTCTTAGTACACCCTAATATTCTATCATGAACACTTTTTTAGGGAATAACCTATCTATACGGTTTTGGCCAATAAAATCACATTAATGACGTCATAATGACGTCATATTACGTCATAACGACATTAAAATTGTTGTTATGATCAATTTTTACTAGTACATCCTCTGAAAATTTGGTGGTCATACGATATACCGTTGATGATGTGTTGTGACCATTTTTCCAGGTGATGATCGTGGTGACTGACGGCAAGTCCGCCGACTCCGTGATGGCCCCGGCCAACGCCCTGGCGTCGAGCGGCGTGGACGTGTACGCGATCGGCGTGGGGAACTACGACGCCGCCGAACTCATGGCCATCGCCGCCCAGGACCAGGGCAAGGTCATCGAGCTGGCCGACTTCAACGCCCTGAACGCCGAGATCGAGCATGCGCAGTTCGCCCAGACGGTTTGCGTAGGTGAGTAGTCGGTTCTTAACCCTACCTAGACCGGGGGGGGGGGGGGCTAAAAGTGCCCGCGGCAACTTTGATGTCACCTAGCGTCTGAACGGCTAGCCGTAGAACGGCCAAACTTGGTGACTTTTCCTAGAATATTGTTGGCAACAATTCTCTATCATTGGAATAAGATAATAATTTTTTGTGTTGCCATGGCAACGGGTTTCTGACAGACATTTTTTGCTAAATTTAGTACTTTTTGTTTCAACAATAGAGTTTTATGGGTTTTATGTCAAGTTACTCATAGTTTCTAATATTAATAACATCCCTGATAATTTTATGTAAATTTCATCATTAAATATGCATAATTTATGCTAATTTGATGACGTCATTGGCCAAAATCCAAGATGGCGGACCATATCATTAAAACAAGTATATACAGGTTATTTTCATTAAAATTTCATCAATACTTCCATTTCTTTTTCCAAAAAAGGTGTAAATGAAGGTCTTTAGTATGTTTACAGTGTATTTTAGGCTTTATCATGAAAAAAAACTATTTTTTAAAATTCAAGTTTGATGATCCAAGATGGCGGATATCTTAAATATGCATGACGTCATTTTATGACGTCACCGGTGTTGCTATGGGCAACATAAGACTTAGTACACCTTAATATTCTGTCACAAACACTTTTGGTAAAGTTATGTTGAATACCATTTAGTTTTTAGGGAAAACCCTATTTAGACGGTTTTGGCCAATAAAATCACATTAATGACGTCATAATGACGTCATATTACGTCATAACGACATAAATTGTGGATATGATAGATTTTTACTAGTACACCATTCTCTGAAAATTTGGTGGTCATACGACATACCGTTCGCGAGTTCTTAGGGGGGGGGTCAAAAGAGCCCCCCCCACCGGTCCCCCATGTCAAAAAAAGCCCGGTCTAGGTAGGGTTAAAAACCATCATGATGTACAACGGGCCTGTTGTATCCAGAACAGCATCGGTATGGTTCTGGATAGTCCAGAACCGTATCCAGAACCACGCCTATCTAGGTCGGCCAGACTGTCTGCGTAGGTTAGTTGTCGGTTCTTATAAATCGCCACCATACCATACTTGTGTCCAGCGGCCCGTTGTATCCAGAACCGTTACTTTGTCCAGAACTGTCCAGAACCATGCAAACTCACGGTTCTGGATTGTCCACGCGCATCCAGAACCACACTTATTCAGATCGCCCAGATGAGTAGTAGGATCTTAAGACCATCATGATGTACAAGCGGTCTGTTGTATCCAGAACCGTGCTCAGACACAATTTTTTTTTTTCCTTTTCCTTCCTTTTTCTAGATAGTTGCTGGATAAGTATAGATTGTTTTGTAAGTGTAGGTTCAACTAGGTTGTGATATGTGTTTAACTTAATAGCTTTTACAGTGTATTATAAATTTCCCCGCCACAGTTGCCCAGCAGCCCAAGCCTTGCGCGAGCAACCCGTGCCAGAACAACAGCAACTGCGTCAGCATCAACGGCGGAGACGCCTACGAGTGCCGCTGCTTCCCTGGGTGGCTGGGCGCCAACTGCGAAACACGTGAGAACCGCCTTCGATCCTTCCCTTGTAACACTGGAAGAGTTGTGGCTCTGGCATCCACGCTGGCCCATTCCTCAAACATGTGCAAAGAGTTTTGCATCCATTAACGACGATAACACTCTTCATTTGAAGTCCGTCTGACATGCTTCCCTCCTACTGAAAAAGCATCAGGCTCCTCTGATGATGAATAACATAGTCGAACAGATTTTATATTACGCTTGCATTAGACAACATATCAGAGCCAAAGACGTTTCAGGATGTGAAGGTAATTACTAGACTATTCTTATTAGCATTTGTCGACGCGGCAAGGCCAAGGTGGTTGGGAACGTTCTTTAGTAGAGGCCAATGCTATGCCGTTGGGAAAGGCACTCGACTGTACACCCCTATCCGTACAGTCCTGCCTTGCACAGCGTGTACTTACTGTACTGTACAACAATTCTCAAAAATCAAATAATCAGTTTCGTACTTACTGCACTGTACAAAACTGATGAGATAAAACCAACATTACTGACTAAGAGACTTGTCTTTCTGCCCAGTGGACTACTGCCGGAACCAACAGTGTGAGAGCGGCGGAACTTGCATGAACCAGCCGACCGGATTCGTCTGCAGCTGCCCGCCGGGCTGGGAGGGCACGCACTGTGAAACACGTGGGTGTGCATATTCATGATGTGTTAAAACTTTCGATTAATGTTTAATAATTGAAAGAAGGTGTTAAACTGATACTCACGACGAAGTGTTCAGCTAAGAGAAGCTTTTAGGTGGCATCCGCCATCTTTCATCAGCTTATAAGAGGGGTCACGTGACCTCGGTGTCAAAGGTCACCCAGGTCACGTGACTGGACGAGGGAGTTGTAGATCGTAGGGAGCCTGTGGAATGGTTAATAACTTAAAGTCGCTTAGGCAATTACTATGTGACTGTACAATATATGTACAAAAGATGCGGGATTAGGCTTAGAAGCAGCAGAAGGTATGGCTAGGGACCATGCTACTTGGAGACATTCAGAATCTTCCCCCCACCCACCAATCCATTCAACCAACCCACCAACGCACCCTCCCACTCACTCACTCACTCACTCACTCACTCACTCACTCACTCACTCACTCACTCACTCACTCACTCACTCACTCACTCACACACACACCCAACACCCAAGCAGATGTGCGGGTTATATAACAAAACACCAGCTGTCAAACAGCTCCTCTAACACATAACACGTGTGGAGGCAGCGCCTGCTACCAGTTTGATTAATGAGGTTCTCCCTATGGAATAGGCTACATGTACAGTACACCGCCCAAAGGTGCTACTGTATTAACTGTGTGTTTGAAAACGAAAACCTGTGTTATTTTGGTCTTTACTGTAGTGTACTGTGTAAAAATATTTTGCAAGTAGCCTTCGGGCATGAACTTGAACTTCATTCCCCCTGCAGCTTCTTGCCAGAACACCGTCAGCCTGTGCGGGAACAGCCCCGGCTGGCCTGACATCATGTTCTGCTCCGTGAGCCACGTGCTCGCCGCCTGCCCGGAGTTCTGCGGCACCTGCAGTACGTATATTCTCGTCCCATATATTAGTATATTACATTTGTCTTTTGTAAGGTAGATACATACGAAGCAGGAACACTGTCAAATATACGATATATATATTTAAAATACATACAATTGTAAAACATATATGTTTAATAAGAATATATATACACTTTTCAAAACAATATATGTATAGTAAATACATACAATTGTAAAACATATATGCTTGAAAAGAAAATATATGTACATTTTTTCAAAACAATATACATATCTTAAATACATATAATTCCAAAACATATATTGTTCACAAAAAGTGGTGTTCCCAAAACCCCTATCATATGAAAACATATATTGTTCACAAAAAGTGGTGTTTCCAAAACCCCTACATATGAAAACATGTTGTTCACAGAAAGTGGTGTTTCCAAAACCCCTGTCATATGAAAACAGGAAGTGGTGTTTCCAAAACCCCTATTATTTCTAAACCTATATATGTTTTCAGTGCACGCGGTAACACTGTCAAATCTCTCACCAGAGTTTCTAGCATGGGCGACCACACTACTGTTGTGGAGGTTAGAGAGAAAAAAAAACAGATTTTTTTCGCCTAGGTTTCTTCCCCTCTTGTCCAGTGATTCTTAAAGCTACGCGTAATTAATTTTCATTCCAAAAAGCCTTTTCATTATTGTATTTTGGTCAGATCTTTGCATATAAGTCACACTAAAATAATAGGGGGCGCCAAGGATTGTTACAGAGTAGATTCTTCCGATCAGAACTCTTCCTCTCGCATAAAAAGTTGAGATTTTCTAGAATTTTTTAAAGTTTACACTTTTGACGGTTTCATCAAAAGATGCTCAAGTATTGCCATTGGTTCTATGGGAATAGAGTCAATTCCGCGTCATCGTGTGGGTTGTTATTGTCATCATTTAGAAATGTTTTGAAATCTTTGTTATTGTTTGTCTAAGAAATTTCATAATATGGACACATTTTGAATATCTTTTCAAGATTCTAAATAATTCCCTGGTTTTGTAAAAGGTTTGAAATATTCCTGATGTGGAATATGACATTTCCAATAGTTTCTAAAAAATATCTACCATTTTTTACCATTATTTCTAACATTTTGTAAATAGGTCAGTGGGCTGGGAACGAAGTAATTCACACATCCCTGTGAAGTACAGGCTAGTCTGCCTGGGTGTC